CAAGCACAGTACATCCTCAAAAGATATTATATCAAAAATGATGTAGTTCTTTCCAATAACCATTTCAAGTGAACTGTCTGAATGCCTCCTACTGTCTACTCTCCTTTGGCTTACTTTTGTACTTCATTTGTCAGTAACACCTACCTAACAAATTAGAAGCTTCAATAGAGCAGAACCCATGCCTTTATAATTTGTGTAGGAGCAAGCACGTTTTAATTATTATCATATTTAAGCAAATTACATAGACTTCTAATACATCATACACTACATTATGTGGCCTCTATACTTCTGCTTTACGAAGAAAATATGAATATTTTCAAATCTGATCACTGGATTTTCTTCCTTTTCTTTTCCTCTATTTTCTCTCCAAAAAAGGAAGAAAAATGCATCTTCCTCCATGTCAATGTATCAGTAGAGATTCACATAATCTACCCATAGGCCATAAATTCCTTAAGGGTAAATTGTCTTATTCATATCTACAGCCTTTGCATGTAATTGAGCAACTGGACATCACAGACAATAGTGTTAACTGAACTGAATCCTACAAGCTGTAATAAAAAAAAAATCAATGATTTCTTGGCAACAAAATAGAATGAGTTCTAAAAATTAAACAGAAATGTAGACCGCTAAGAACAGAAGTGACAAATCAGGGTGAAATTCATACTGCTTCAATCAATATACATTTTTTCAGATCTAGAAAGAACTTTCTATTTAAGAGATTAACTAAAAGATTGTATTTTCTTAAAGATCACGTTCTGCTGCTTAATATCAGAACTAAAACTAGAACCAGATTCTGCATCCCATGGTCTGGTTTGGTCACTTAAAAATAATCATCAACATGCTAATTACTTTAAAAACCAGCTAGTGTTTAAACTGAGAAACTACACTGGAAAAATAATGCAGTTTACGATTTTAAAAGTGAAAAGAAGAATATATTAGAAAGATTATAGTCTTCTAATCCCGGCTCTTACAATTACTAGTTGACCAATTGGAAAATCTACTTAACCTCTTTGAATCTCTGTTTCTTCATTTGTTAAATAGGGGAAAATAAGGCTTGCTATTAGAAGTAAAGGAAATAACTGCCTGATAGTTATCATCTTCCTTTATAAAATATGCAACTGGTCCCCAAGAATATGAATTAGATAAGATCTTTTAAAAATGTGATGAGAGCTTTCATTAAAAGGCCTATTAAACATACCAATAATGTATAACTTCTGACAATATTATGCTAATATTGATATGAGGCATTCACATATTAGAAACGAGACAATGAAAATATTGGAGACTAATGAATATTTTGTAGATACATTTGCAAAATACATTTTTTCAACTGCTAGGAGACCCTTTTCCATCTTACTATTTATGATACAACATTACATACACACATAATATACATAAGTGCATAATGTAATAATATATACCATATATGTACATAACAGATATGTTATAATCCTAATAAACAGCCAAATAGGGTATGTATTACCATTCCCATTATACAGTTGAGAAAATGGAGCTTTAGAAAAATTTAATAACTTATTTGGAATTACATGCTCTCCTTGAGCAATCTTATCTAATTTTTTTGTATTTACTTTAGCATAACCTCACCATAAGAGAGTCCAAAAAATTCAAATGCATAAACTGTGAGATTAATGACAGATTTCAGTTAGCCTGTATATGTCTGTCTCCATCTGTTAAACACATTCACATATAAACCACAAAAGATAATAAAATTTACACCATATACAGCCAAATGCACACTGAACTGACAATGAATCATTATTGGTTTAACCAAACCATGCCCCCTGTTGAGGACACTAATTTTAGCTCCCCATTTGAAAACAAAGAGTTAAAGGAAGATGGACGCCAACTGCCAATCACACGACATCTTAATTCTTATTATTATGGGATGTATAATCACAGGCTTTTATTATAATACCTCTAAGCTGATGCTTCCCAAATCTCTATTTTCAGCTCTGACTCAGCCTGAGTTTCACATTCACATATCCCTGATTGCTTTCTTGGTGTTCCTCATCTCAGTTAAATTTACCAATATTCACCCAGAAATCTGGCATCATAGTTGAGGCCCCTTTCTTCCTGGCAATTCACTAACAAGGTCTGCCCATTTTCCCTTTTATATTTCTTTGAATCCAACCCCTACTCTACATCAGCTAGTTCAGGCCCTCAAAATCTCTGAGAAGACAACTGAAATAGCATCCTTATGTGTGGATCCCTCACCCCCAAATCTACACTGCCATCAGTTATCCAAAACGCACACCTGACTATGTCAGTCTTTTTCATAAAATCCTCTGAACGATCTCCAATAGATGAAGTCTGATCTTTATAGCTGGGCAAATTGAATCCTTAAGAGCTATCTATGTATTCTACCTGTAGTACAGAATCAAGCAATAAATACCAGATGTTAGTAATAAACCATACTGGTGCTTTATTTACCAATGCCCTCTACCTAAGCATATCATCTTTAACTAGATAGCAAATACTTATGTTTCCCAACTCAGCTGCTCCTGAAACCTTATCTACAACTCCCTTTTTCTATTCCCTCACAGCATCTTATGCACAATGCTATCAACATTTATCACATCATCTCTACGTCCTCCCACTTCCACCAAAACTGTAAGGTTTTTAATAGGAAAGGTCCATAACCTCTTTTTAATCAGTCTTTCCATTTAGCACAGGTTATCACACACATAGTAGTCACTCAATGAATGTTTTTTAACCAAATGTTTAAACTGTACTGATAATAAGTGGTAATCTTAACTAGGATCTGAATCTAACTCCAATGCTTACCTTCTTTCCACTATACTATTCTGACTCCTGCTTTTTGTTTTGCTAAAAAAAAACCCAAAATTGAAATAAACTAATTGTGTACTATCAAAAATATCTTCCCGATTTTTCCTTTGTACCATGAGATTAAACTTGGGCTTTACATTTTATGCTCCGAGATTAGAGATTCTTCAAAGAATATCCATTCTGTCTTACATTACTGAAAAATTTTTAAAAAGCAGTAACTCAAGAAAAATTCAAATGTCTACAAAAAATAAGAAAATCCTATAGTCAATTAAACTATGGAGAAAATAAATGATTTAGTATTATCAAATATAAGAAAAATAAGAAAACTAAGCTTCCAATAAACTAGAAGAGTTGATGTTAAAAATATTACTTACAAAATTACATTTGGATGTCACACAGATTGTTACTTAGAATATAATCAAATATGCAACCATTAACCAAAGTGTTAAACTGCTTCAGAAAGATATCTAGTAAATATCCCAAATATTGTGATGTAAAGCTCAGTGATTTAAAGCAATAAATGCATTCAAAGACAATGAAAACCAATGAGTTAATGAACTCAAAATGACTCAGGAATGTAACCCAAACAGACTCTGTAATTAAAAAAAAAAAAAAATCCCCCAATAGCTAAAAGGATTAGAAATTAAAGAATTAAAGTACACAATAAATAAAAATGTAAAGTTCTTTATCTTAGTTTTGATATTGAAAAATAATGCAATTCTAAAACAAATTGCCTATAAATTATAGTCAGATGTCATCAAGCATCCAAGTATGAAAACAAAGTAGCAGAAATTAAGCAATTATTAAAAATTAACTCTACTTTGCATATCTATACAGGCCGCTATTTCTGCCTCTTCCCCCAACTTTTACCACAAATTAAAAAAGAAAAACACGTACACAAAAACAGGCTTTTTATGATTTGAAATACAATGGTTTTTTTTCTTGATAGTTCTTCAATATCGTTTTAGCTCACTGCTATTAGGGGCCATTTCCTTTTGTAATATTGTGCATGTTTTTAAATAATCACCATTACTTACGTCTTTATCACAATCAGGTTCTTTACTTGTAATTAAAGAAACCTACTTCCTGGGCTAAAATCTGTACAGAATTAAAACTGTATTCTTACGGTAATAGCTAACACTTAAATAGTGCTTTACTCTTTTCCTACACTAAATATTTTACGTACATTCATTCTCTAATCCTTATTTCTAGGTGCTATTTATCGACTGTAAACTGAGACACTTGACCTCACGAATACTCTCAAAGGTAGGATTAACCCCCGGTAGCCTAATTTTGTACAAGGCAAAGCCCTTTCCATGAGTTTTGCATCTCAGCGCTTCATTTTCCTTCTGCAGATTATTTTTTTCTCACCACTCATAATACATACACTAATAATGGAGAGTACAAAGCAAAACATTCTGCCTCAGCTAACATTTTGTTTCATTTCATCCTGATTAAAATAATCTTTTTAAAAAACTACTAAATTATTATCTATTTTCTAATTTACAAGAATGTCCTTCTAAAAAGTACTGGAATCTCCCCATGTCACCGTTCCTCCACACAGCCAATGAGATGGCACTTCATTACACCTGCTTCAAAAACGTTGTTCAAAAGGATTTCACACTGAGAATTTCTCTTTCTTACTCTTCTCTTTCTTCATATAAAGCTACTGTTTGAAATTTTAAATATCCGCTTCCCTTGTTCTAGAAACACTTTTCTTCAATTACATCCTCTCTCTTTCTCACTAACTCTACTAAAATGTGACTATTTTCACTGAAAGTCCAGTGTCACCAGGGCTGGACTTGCTAATCCGCGCTGATTGCTGCGTGTTTTTCTGCGTGTGCGCCAGAATCTTCCAGAAGGTTTTGGTCACACAAGTATGTCCGCCATGTTGATTTTCCTCTCCCGTGGAGATCTACTCTGTCCGCCTATGAAACTTGAGACGCTGGAGTCCCGCGGAGCCAGGGCAAGGGCTGACTGCCTCAGCCACTAAAGAGGTTTTACGTTTCCAAGAGGAATGCGCTCTAAAGGCTCTTAAGCGCTGCAGTGCCGAGCGCTTCCCGCTTGAGTGGCGCACCCTGCGGATCCAACTCCTCTGAACTGCAGAGCGTCCGGACACCGAGGCCCACTCGACAAGCTGCTAAACGCGGGCTGAGGGGCCGGCACGGGGAGAATTCGAAACCGGTACTTACCAATGCGAGGCGTTGCCTGAATTTTCCTCTGCGGGTTTCAGTAAGACCCTCTGTAGGTTAGTGGACATTTTAGAGGGGTGGGAGGGGACAGCTCATTCAGGAAAGGGAGTAGCGTGGGGCCGAGGTTCTCAAAGGGGCGAGAACGAGAGTGAGACAATGTCGTGCTGGAGTTGCTGCGCAGCAACTCTGAGGAGTTCGACGCTGAACGGAGCGCGACGGCAGGCTCGCGAGAGGGCGTATCCCAGGGTTCGGAGGGAGGTGGCGGAGCCACCGAGAAACCGGAAGACTCCGGGCGGGTGACAGCAGCCTCCCGACTCTAGGCTCTGAGAGAATAGACCCAAGGCTCCACCCCCTAGAGCCTACGACATCGCTCCAGAGCAGGGCAGAGCGGGCGCGGGGGCGTGGCACTGATGGCGCCGCCCCCAGCAGGGCCGGGTCAGCTGTGAAGACCGCGCCAACCTGGCTCTGCGGACCCCGCCCACCGAAGCCACAAACCCGAGGACAGCTCGGGCCGGTGGCTTCCGCGGTCGTCATGTCCGGTTGCCAAGCTAACTGGCTCGCTCAAGCCCCGCCCTTATGATACAATCCAATCGCAAGCGAAGTTTGCTATCTTTTCTTCCGGATCAAGGAACGAATCGCAAAAGAAAGTTCTCCCGACACCTACGCAAAATAAAATGTTTCCGGGGTCAATCGTAAATTTTCTGCCTTTGTACTCGCCGCTGGTGTAAGTTTTCCTCTTTCGCTAGTGCTTTAAAAGCCATCAGCGGGCTTTTTTGGAGTCATCGTACACTCGTGGCGTGAAGAAGTTTTAGACGCTAGACTGTGGCCAGCGATGTATTGTTACTACTTCTCTGAAGGTTTTCGGTTTTTCCGCCTTTCCTGAAGCCTTGCTTCTACACTTACTTACCCCCTTCCTCCATCCCATGTTCATGCCTCAGTCGGAACATGTTAATTCGTTCATTCTCTAAAAGTTTTGTCCCCTATATAAACTTATTTTACCAGTTATCTTTATTTGGCTCCCCCGAGAAAAGCTATTCAGAAGTCTCTTGATTCCTGCAGTTAAGTCAGTATCCGAGAAAAGGATTCAGTCTCTGATTAAGGGATAGAGATCCCAGTTCAGCTGCTGCTAGATGGTGAGTGTGGGAGGAGTGGTTTCGAAATCCAGTTTTATCTGGAGTAGGCAGTTCCTGTGTGAATTGATTCACACTGCTCGAATTTATGAGACTGACATAAGGTAACTAATTTAAAAGTTTATTTTGGTCTTTTAAAAATCCCCATTACTCATTTCCATAACTCCTTAATAAGATAATACTTATTTTAAAACTTTTATGTCCTGAAACCTTAACAGAAAGTGATACTTTCTAACTACTGTTCACCCTGTTAAAGGTTAACTTCAGCAATATAGAATCCTGAATCTATAACTGGCATTTGTCTTCCGAATATCTCCCCCTCCCAAAGAGGGGGTTGGGGGGTGAGCCCTTAGTACTGTCTGTGTTTTGGTCATCCTCCTACCTGTGAAAGCAAAATGACTTGAAAGAGTTGCCCACTTTTGCTTATTCCATTTTCTTATTTCCCATTCATTTGTTATCTTTTGCAGTCTGGCTTCTCATGTCCATCACCATTCCCTGAAAATAAGACTCATTGTCATAGATTGGGTTTCCTGGGAAGCACACTGTTAGGATTCAGTCCATCCTAAGATATTTATTAGAGGGACGTTTATTAGCAGTACATTTATTAGAGATAAGTAAATGTGAACGGGAAAGAAAGGAAGCAATGTTAGGCAGAGGGAAAAGTTAGGCTGTGATGTCCAGTCTTAACCAGGCCTTAGCCTGCCCCAAATAGAGGTTAAAACTGGGATGAACTTTAAAAGTTTTCTCCAGTGGGGTGAGAGAGCTGGTCCTTTATGCTCCATGATAATAAGCTATGGGATGCAGACAGTGCCAAGGAAGGGTTCGTAGGCAAGAGGATCTCTTTAGCCAAAGAAATTATTCAAGAAGGCCAATAGCTGAGGCATGTCTGCTGATAGCACTTCCAGCCACTGGTGAAATTAGACAAGACCTTCATTCCTGAAGGGAGGTCTAGGAGGTGCATCACAGCATACACTGTACTCATTTTTTAAAAAATAGTTGTCCAGCTAATTTCTTTCTATTTTTAGTAGAGACAGGGTCTCGCTTTTGCTCAGGCTGGTTTCGAACTCCTGAGCTCAAACGATCTGCCACCTCGGCCTCCCACAGTGCTAGGATTACAGGCATGAGCCACCACGCCCAGCCCGCTGTACTCATTAACCCACTCATTCACCTGGCTATTGCAGTTGGTGATGTTTATCTCACATTTCACACTCATTCAGAATTTTTGCTTAGCAGCAGCATTAATTACTCCCTCACTCTTGATGCCATTGGCAATATACTTTCCTGATTTTCCCTCCACCTTTTTGTTTATGTCTCCTCAGTCACTTTTGAAGGTTTATCTTTCCCTTTTTAGTCATAAATAAGGGAGTTCCTTAAATCTTTATCACTGATTCTCTTATTTTCTCAGACTGTCTTGTCTCCCCATGGATTTCATCTCTGCACAGCTTGAATTACCACCTCTACCCATTGTACTACCACCTCTACCCATTGTACTACCAAGCACATAAATATTCGTAAGTGCCTGGCACATGGTATTAATTTTACAAAACTAACTCATTTACTCCTAACAACTAGTGAAAATTATTATATACACATGAAGAAACACACAGAGAGGGTAAATAAATTTCCAGAGATCATATAGCTAGTGCATAGTGGAGCCAGGCTCCAAATCCAAGTTATCTGGCTAAAGATTCTATGTACTTTACTACTGTATTACCCTTGCCATTTGACTCATAGACGTATGTCCCCAATTCTGATTTCTCTGAGATCTATACCTGGATGTTCAAGTGAATTGTTGAGATAGCCTTTGAATGTTTTAAAAGCCCCTTCAAATGAAACATGTTTAAAACCAAACTTATGACGTCCTCCTTTTCTCTCCACTACCCATTTTCCCTTATCAATGCTCTCTATCTTCAGAAAGAAAAACACACTCCACTCGATTAAAGATGCTGAAATCCAGGTGTCACCCTTAACATACGACTCTTTTTCTTTCAAAATATATAATCCATCACCAAGCATTGCAGATTTTATCTTCCAAATATCTTACACATCTGCTCTTTATTTCTATCACTACTACTCTGGACTAAGCTTAACTGGACTAGTGAAGCTTTAACTGCTATCCTCCTATTCACTCTTTTTTTCCTCCAAACACTGAAGCCAGAGATGCGTTTTGGAAACAAATCTGATAGTGTCATCTTACTGAATAAAAAACATCAGTTCTCCCCTTGCCCTTATAATAAAGACTAAAATCTTTGATTTGTGTCAAAATGTTGAACTATTAATAGTACAGGGAACTGGCCCCTGGAGAAATAAAAAGAAATTTAGATTTTACAAATTAACAGTGACAACCACCCACAAACACACAAAAACATACCTGTGACAATTTTTTTTCCTGCATATTATGGGGGTACAAATGTTTAGGTTACATTGCCCTTGCCCCCTGCCAGAGAGAGCTTCAAGCGTGTCCATCCCCCAGATGGTGCGCATTGCACTCATTATGTTTATATATACCCATCCCCTCCCCCCCATCTTCCCGACGCCCAATAAATGTTATTCCTATATGTGCACTTAAGTGTTGATCAGTGAAACCAATTTGCTGGTGATTACATGTGGTGCTTATTTTTCCATTCTTGGGATACTTCACTTAGTAGAATGGATTCCAGCTCTATCCAGGAAAATACAAGAGGTGCTATATCACCATTGTTTCTTATAGCTGAATAGTACTCCATGGTATACATATACCACATTTTATTAATCCACTCAGACAGTTTTAATCTGTAGGAAGATTGAAATTTGTCTTGAACTGGTACGTGAATGTATAGTGGTGTTACAGGATAAAGCCAAGGGCCACCAGGGGCACCAGAGGGTGGAGGAAATCATTTAAATTTTTCTCTTGCGTGGCTGTACAAAAGCTTTTTAATTTGATCAGGTCCCATTTATTTATTTTTGTAACTGCTGTGATTGCTTTGGGGGTCTTCTTCATAAACTCTTTACCTATGCCAATGTCCACCTATATTTTCCTGGATAAAGCTTGAGCCCATCCTCTGAAGTGAGGTATCATAAGAACGAAAGAATAGGCACCACATGTACTCACTATCAAATTGGCACTGACTGATCAACACTAAGGTGCTCACACAGTGATAATATTCTTTGGGGGTTGCGGGTTGGCTTTGGGTAAACTCACAACTAATGGATGTGATGAGCATTGTGGGGGGAAAGGGCACTCCTCAAATCATGACTTGGGTGTGGCAAAGTCATGACATGTAACCAAAATGTTTGTACCCCCATTAATATCCTGAAATAAAAATAAATAAAACAAAAAAATTAAAAAAATTTCTCTTGCATCTACTTCACATTTTTTAGGTATAATAATTAATTGTCCTATGAAAACCAACCCAAACAATAGCCAAGCTTCTGGTATAGACATGATAAGGTCAAGGCAGGAGAAACGCAAGATAAGGTGAACCATGGATGAAAATAGATGCAGAATTGTCTGCCAATGTTGGTAATTCTCCATCCCTTCCACAAAACTGCCAGGGCTGGTGCATCACAAATAGGTAACTTGCCTTTTATTAATGTGGTCTTGCACTATAAATATAAAACATTTACCAGGAAAATTGCCTTGTGGAGTGGATGCCAATTGGTATGATCAGCAGTGGTTCTTTGGATTCCTTGGGACACATACCTTTTTTCTAAATTCATTAGGAAAGGCAGACTGGGGCTAAATATCTTACTTTCATGAATACATATTAAGGCAGAGTAGGGATACCCTCAAGGGAAACTGTGAGTTGACAGGCCAAAACAGGTAGAAACAATCAAGTACAGTTACTATAAAAAGAAAGGCAAAAAGCTGAATGGTATATACCATGTGAAACAATAATTGG